AAACAAATAAAAACCACAAAAAAAACAAAAGCTGAAAATGAGCCAAGAACCACCAACTTGAAATAGTATCGCAGACTGAAGGAGATTATGACTAGTGGATATCCTATACAGTGCGCACCGAAAAATGAATTTAAACTCCGTGGTATCACTGGTGCCAATCCTTGTGTTTGTAAACAGCTTGCTGTAAAATCTAAGAAATGACTAGGTTAGGAACGCTGAGAGGAGAGAACTGGAATGAGAGCAAAACGTTGTTTTGTTTCGAAACTTACGACAGAGGTAATGGAGGAACGGCACATCTGAACCGACAATTTCAAGATGAAAACACCTAAAGGCGAAGCGTATTAGCAAAAAATTTGGCACTAGCAAACGAGCAAAAGAGCTTAGAATTGCAACCAACTTTAGTCGTATTCCCGCCTCGAACGCTACAATAAATATCCAAAAAACTAGAGCAGAGAAACATTGCTTTTCTGAAAATAAAACTGATGAAATTCGGGATGAAGCTTTGAGAAAGAATGGATCCCATCTCAACTCGAAAGGAGAAAAGCATAAACACATAAGAATGTCGCAATCAAGGCTTCAACTGACCGTGAATCATGGCGGATAACGTCCGCAGAAAGCCACCATGTGTATGCCAAATAACATGCACCCAAACATAGGTGCTGGCAAGAAACACCAAAAATTTTACTGGTATGAATAAGTAGCAGATCAAATCTGATGTAGCCGTGACACAGACGAATAGCACGGAGAATTTCTGGAAACTTAGTTAATCAAGAGCCATTTCTAGAGTTAATCAAGAGCCATTTCTACCCTTAAGTACAGATCATCCTGCCAAACAGATCTCCCACAGCAACGAACAAGAAGGACACACACAGCGCCAAAGCCCGAAATTACAAAAATAGCGCTAATGTCACTGGAAGGGCACCCCTGTAAGCGCTTGTCAGCATACCAAACCCTGTAAACTGTATACATGTGAAGTACAAACGCCAACACCTTGTTGTCACCTGTCAAGCACCCCCTAAGCTCCTGTCAAACTTGTCAAAATGATAATAACAATGTATAATAATGATAATAATAATATAATTGTATAATAATGTGTATAATAATGTATTGTATAATAATGTGCCTTTTAGATCAGGTTACGGCGCTCCCATGACGCTAGTACCGTTTCGCCAGGCTTGACAGGAGTTTACAGGGTACTTGACGGGAATTTCCAGGACCTGCGGGGTGAAACAGTTGGTTGTCCGGTGTTCACATGCACAGAGTGAGTGTTAGTTCAAGCTTAGTATGATGACACGATGTGCCCCTCCCAAGTATATTAGTGCCGAGTGCACTTTATCGATTGTTGTGAAATTGTTCATTCAAAAAAGGAGTATAGGACGCAATCCGCCGACCTAATTGATTTGAAGTCTAAGGGCTATCTCTGCTCAACTAGTTTGGTATCGTAACTGGGCACATCCGGCATACGTGAATCCCCCCTCCCCCGCGGACAACAAGGAGCAGCTCCTGTTATCATAACCCTCGCAAAAATGTTGATGTAACGGCGAACTGTTTATCTAGTAAAGCCATAAATTTTTTTAAATGGTGAAAGTCTAATGAACTAGGCACAAACCGCTGTATTATGATTTGCCAACGTGACAACAGCGTTGTGATTTTTGTGAACGGCTTCATAGCCGGTGCGTAGAATGAGCCAAAATGGATAGAGTAGCTCAAAACGGAATCCGCACAGCATATCGAGTGATATAACACCGATCCATAGTAACATTAGGCGGACATAGATGATTGGTGTAGCGATGCTGAAACAGAATCAACTGATTTTTTTGATTTTTTTTTCAATAAACCGAAGTTAAACACTGACAGTAGTCCTTAACTGCGTTGTCCCGGAACCTCATGAGTATCTGTATGTTGTCGATAACACAAAATTTCGAATCGAGGGCGAACCACGGGCTCTGAGTTTCTTTTGAGACTTCTGGATCCTTGCGCCATGAACGGGGGCTTTTTTTGTATATTCACAACATTCTACCAACGGTTACCTTGTTTTGGCTCTCCTACTATACACACTGCTAGAAACATTATCTTCTCTTCAAAACAAACTTTTTCCTAATCACACCAGCGTCATAACAACTACTCTACCTGACTTCGCTTCAACCAAGGAGGGCGCAGTTCGGCGTCGGGGGTGGAGGGAGGGGGGGGGGGAGGGGCATTTTTCTTCCTCATGATGTGTCGACCCATCTAGACAGCCTTTTCTTGAGTTGACACGTTTTACCATGGTGGCTAGACGAGCTTGCTCCAGCTTCACAACAGTTCACAAGTTTCCAGAGCCAGACTTGGAAACCGAATTAGTGAAGCAGTGAAAATGCAAAATGCCCCCTGTCGCCAAACTGCGCCCCAAGGAGTAGGCGCTTATCAGCAGGAAAAAAAGTTCGCCACAAATGAGGTCCCTCAGATGCTGCTGAAAAGGCTGCTTGTGCATAGGTCCTTTTTTGCCCCGCTAATAGTGACACTTGCCTGGTAGTCTGTTGGGCCAAAGTTAAAGCTATAACGGGTTGAGTGTTCCGCAATATATGCAGTGGCAACTGCACCGAAGCCAGCTCTTGCTCCAGCTCAACTTCACCAAATGAATGGAACGCGTTTCCAAGGATAATTAAAGCCAGAGTACCGGTGGCTCTAGCCTGGAAGTCCGCCACCGAAATTACGCCTTCCAGAAAAAACTCTCTCCAAACACTCTCTGTAGGGCCAACGAGAGGGGGAGGAAGCGGTCGGGTTGGAAGGCCGAGAGCTAGTATTGTGGATGCCAGAAAAGAGATTCTCTGCACTCAAGCAATTCACGATACGATCTCTGCACGGGATCACGGCCGAAAACTCTGGACAGTTCGTTCGCCGCATTCGACGTCATGCTTGAACAGTAAGCAAAACGAATGGACGGGAAAACATAGCAAACACATTAGATGCGTAAACGTTTCACAAATCAGGCCTTGATTTGAAAGTAGCCAAACAGTGACTATTGATGGCAGAGCATTAATTGAAAGAAAAGCTGTCACTCACTACGCTTTCCTATTCAGGACGTCTGCTGCCGTTCCGGCAAAAATTTTGCAGAAACACCGAAGACTCCTCTAAATTTCCTCATTTGGTTAGGTCCCGCATTTCCTGCATCTAAATTGTCTCCCGCGATTTTCCGTCCACTTACTAGTTCCCGTTTTCCCCGATTTCTTCGAAAAAGTCGTTGAGCGGGGATGCCGGGAGGTAGTAGCACACTCCATACAGAAAAAGGCGAGAAAGAACCAGAAAAACCTTTCCGGACAAGTTCTCCAGTTTCTCCTGGAGAAGCTACGGTCGTCCCGTCGACCAGCGGTAGGGGTACAGTATAACAGCATCGAGTACAGCCAAGAGAACTCTAGTCTAATGAAATACGGTCACCAATTGGCAAGAGAGGGAGGAGAAACCCCTATGCAAGGGGGTTGAACCACCTCTGTGAAGGAACCTTAAGCAAAATTAGTTATAAGGTTTAACATGTTTCGTGTCAAGGGTGATGCCACTCTGCACGAGGGGTCCTCATTTCTGGCTCTCCCCTTCCTCCCCTCCCCTCACCGCAATCGACTTGGCCTCTGCAAATTATACAATACCGCCGAGCAAGCTCGTTTCATTACTCTATTAAGCGTTTTACAGCTCTATCGTCTATCCACCATGTGACCGCGGCAAGCTTTGCCTTACGAAAAGGTCCGTGGAGAGGAATAAGATGGCATACAATGTCCAAGGAGCTAAATTCCCCACTCCGCTCCTCAGTCTGGTCCTGTTCCACGAGAAAAGCACTTTGCAACTCGCTGCCTGATGTTGCCCTCAATATACTCACCTCTATTAAGGCATCACGATTCGACGTCTTTATGTACCTTTGACGGATTTCGCAATCGTGACGCGTCACGAAGATACTGTAGCGTCGAGCATGCATGAATTTCAATTAAAACCACCGTATCCGTATATACGAATCAGTTCCCTCTGGCATGCTATGCTGCTCAATGTGGCAATGAGTCCATAATTACAGCTGACTGCTTCAACGCGTAGAAAGTCATTATCAATCCATGTCTATAATGCCCGAAATCGATTCTCTAGCTTGTAATTATTGGTAAAGCGACAAGTTCTATCGCTTAACCACCTGTCGGAATTAGTCATGCCTTGAATTAGCGCAGGTGGTCAAGGCAAGCACGGGCGGTATAGGAATCGCCATTTTTAACCACTAAGGCAGCCAAAGTCGCCATGAGCGGAAGTGGTCCACTCGAGGTAACGAGCACCTAAAGAGTCAGTCAAGCGTAAAAGCAAATCAGTCTCGCCTTAACGCTTTCCCTCGACATATATAGCGCAATGGCTGGGCGGCCTAACCTTAGCGACCGATTAATTCCATGCCTGTAGCAAAATATGAACCCACAAGATTTTTTGGGCACCGTAAACGGATTTATTCACCAAGAGAGCTGAGAGACGTTCGCAAATTACAGGAAGGACCACTAATAAGACGAACGAAAACCCATCTTTAATGAGACTTTGGAACCACAAAATTAAAAGCCTAACGGGGCTATTTTCACCTTTTTCGAAAGAAAATACATACTGTTACTCATATGCTCATATGATCATTTCTTCTAGAGTGAGAGCGTTTAACCCAAGGTTTATTCACTGGAGTTCATTTCAAAAAATGTATGGAAATGAAAAGGAGCTGGTGCTGCAACATGCACCTCATTCTGGTCATAACGAAAGGAAAGAACTTATTGCTTACTACCAAACAGACACTGAGAAGCCATAACACTTAAAAAGACTACCATCAGTGCCGTGAAGGTGTGCCCCCATGCTGAACTTTACCCACAGTTAACCCCTAACTCACTTCACGTGAACATCAGAGAAGCATAAACGAAGTTTTAACTGGATTAGCGGACACTGGTTCTGCAAGCATGATCATGCAAGGCTGCAACAAATTCCAAACATTCTTTCACACTATGCCACTGTTAGAACCCCAAATGCCAATTTTCTCTATGAAATTTCAATTGGGAATTATACGAAAGAGGAGTATTCATAAAAGAAATTATAGAATTGAGGACAAATGGTACACTCACTTCCGAGAACGGTTCTCTTCAGAGGCAAGGTGATTGGGTCTGCAGCTGCACTAATGTGCCACTTTCTCTGTTCCGAAATAAGAACGGGCATGAGTAGGATACCCCGCCCGCGCTGCCGCACGCCCACCCACACGCCTAACCACAGTCAAACTGTCTCCTGTTTGCCTCCTCTCACCTCTGGTTGCTCTCTCCCTGTTCGCTGCGGTATTTTGCAACGTTCGCTGCGCTATTTCGCACGTGCTGCATATAGAGAATATCGTGGACAGAGTACGAGGAGGCGGCCGGGTGTTACTAGCGTCTAGCCCCTTCCCTGGGCACCTTTGAGCCCAGAAAAAGGCACACTACAGAAAAGTGGACCTATTCGCCTAGCACGAGGCAAGAACCAAGATCCACGGAGAAAGGAAACTATTCAGTGCCTTGCCCATGAATATTATGTACACTGTTGTTGCCGGCACTCAGAGTTTTAGCGAATTTGATGCCTAGAGCTCAAAAAGGGGCGACTAGTACAGTGAGTTTTCCTCTGCAATTAGAAGG